CCATGCCTAGGAATGCACCCTTTCGCAGCATGGCAGCAGGAGACAGGGACTCTGGTGCAGGGTTGTGATGTGATACAGGTCATATGTTTTACTACGAAACAAGATGAACAGATTGTGTTCTGCATTGCACTGAACGTTGGTTAGTATGATGAGTCAACAGTAGCTGTAGATAAAGTAGCATAAGCAGGGAATGGATATTCCTTCCTAGCTGCCTGACATGGCGCCCGAGTATCCTCACTGCAGGTATGAACTATCGAACGGCTCTTCTGGCTGATAATGCTAGCAGACATGCTCATCACAAAAATTTGATGATGCTTTTGGAAGAAACATGCATGCTAACTCTACTAAACTTTAGTATAGCTAACTGAATTCTACTTGTTCAAGATCCTCCCTCTCCAGTGTGAACGACATAAAATTACTATGAAAGAAAAACATGTCTAATATCAAGGATGGCTCAAGTTTTAGCTGGATCACAGCAAACCATCATGATGACTGATAGAAATTATTAGCATTGGAACTACTTCACAGAATGAGGTAGAAGTCATCAGTCAGACTTCTGTGAAATTACCTAACTACACAGTTCTTTAATAAGTACTTCCTTGACTTACTATTTCCCAAGGTTACTTTCCCAAGGTTCTGTTACTGAGAAGATTGTAAACTTCATGCCCAAACCTATGGACGCCGAAAAAAAGGACTTTGCGTGCCATCTTGTGGATACCGCAAGAACATCAACTTTTATTCCAAAAAGATGTATTAATTAAAAAAAACAACAACAAAAACCAAAACCAATGGAAGAACACAAGTCTGTATCTCCTTAAATGCCAGTTATAACCCAATGCATAATTCTTTACTATCAGGGAGAAACGTTTTATGGAAAGTATAATTTGGTTTGTTTCTTGCTCTTCAGCTGAAATAAACAGTTCTAATGGCCATGGGGTCACATTGCCAACTGTTAATGTTCTGTCATCAGTTAAGCAACTATGTAACAACCTCAAGATTTGGGCTTAATATCCAAGATACTTCCATTAGCAAGTATCACTGAAACCGCTTTTTGTAACATTATTCTCTATATGCTGGGAGACAGCAGAACAAGAATATATCCCGCAGTAGCACACTTACGACATCTTTCTCTTCTACTTTTCCTTCTAACATACACACTACCACCACTCTGTTGCCCAGCTACAGCTACATATATAATGATTCTGTAAGTCAGTCAAAGCTACTCAAACTGAAGTAGTGAGTTTAAATGTCAGCATGAAAAGGATGGTGGGGAATTGAGACAAGAGAGAAAACAAAAAATAAGAGGGCAAATTTGAAGCAGAATCACTTTTAAAAGTAATTTTGACCTTCTTATATAAAATAGTTTGTGTCCACAGCTTCCATGAGCTGGTAGCATTCAGTATTTTATAATATGACATGTAAGTCTGTTTCTCAGGACAGTTTCCATTCTTAAGTTATTTACTTGAAATGCCATTAGATATAAGCACAAGCCATAGGTGTTTACACTGCTTTTCCCCATTAAAAAGTAGCTAACAGAATTAGTGGTTAAGTCCTGAAATATTTTTGTAGTTTATATCAAGCTGGTAAAATTAACAACTGTGTTCTAGAAGAAAAAGGGGGAAAGACTGGAAATTCACTTAGAGGACTTTGGTAGTATTTCCAGATATAGATAGTGTGTTTATTACACAAATATGCTTCTGTGCAGCATAGCAGTGCTGAACGAGACCCCCAAACTCAAATGGCATATATACCACTGATACAAACACACTGTCCGCTGGCAGGCTGCCTGCTCTGTACTTTAGATAGATTACAGACATTTTTGTCACTTAATAATACTATTTTGAACTCATGCAAGCTCAATTTATTTGAGCTAGATCGGGGCCATAGAAAGGAGAGCGTTAATCACCTAAAGACATTAAAGAGATTTATCAATACAGCTACAACATGAAGAGCCAACTGGAAACAGGAAGGGAAGGGAAAGCTGAGTTACCCTTCACTTTCCTTTAGGTATATAGAGTCAGTCCAGGATGAGCATTTCTGTCTTGATGCTTTTTTTCCAAAGGAAATCCCTGTGCTACCAGGGGTAATGGCAGAAAAGGAGAGCATGAGCATCACTGGCAAATCAGAGGGGAGTAAAAAAAATTTTCAGTAAGCACCTACAGTTTGTTCTTATCATGTAACATGTATCTATCCTCATGAGTTTTCCCAAATGTCTGCTGTGCTCTGAAGCATTTAACCTTTTCTGATACAAAAGGTAAAACCCGAGTTACCAAGGAAGAGACGATCATTGTTTCTACGCATGGGCAGAAAGCGCAAGGAGCTTTTCAGGTAAGAGGGCCAAGATGTGGCAGCTGTCGGTCACTCCGAGTAGCTGCTACTGAACAGCCACAGCT